ATTAATGTTAATTTGCATGCGATTATCATTGCTCCATTTTATGAGATTATCTATTTCTTTCTGTAAAGAACGTTCTAATTCATTACAATTGTCATGACTAGTATTTATTGTACAGCAAACAGATCACATGTTATACTGAGATGTAACGGAAGGTCATTAATATAAGTAGCAAACAGTAGTGGACCTAATGTTGAACCCTAAGGGACGCCTATATTTAACTGTGTGGGTTTTGAATAACGGTTTCTGAGGGAGACTACCTGCTGCCTATCAGACAAAAATGACTTTATTAATGTCACTAAATTTTCGTTGGTTTTTAAGGACAGACAGACAGACAGACAGACAGACAGACAGACAGACAGACAGACAGACAGACAGACAGACAGACAGACAGACAGACAGACAGACAGACAGACAGACCGACCGACCGACCGACCGACCGACCGACCGACCGACCGACCGACCGACCGACCGACCGACCGACCGACCGACCGACCGACGACCGACCGAACGACCGACCCGACCGACCGACCGACCGACCGACCGCGACCGACCGACCGACCGACCGACCGACCGACCGACCGAACGAACGACAGACAGACAGACAGACAGACAGACAGACAGACAGATAGACATACAAATAGACAGACAGACAGACAAATAGACATACAAATAGACAGACAGACAGACAGATAGATAGACATACAAATAGACAGACAGACAGACAAATAGACATACAAATAGACAGACAGATAGATAGATAGATAGATAGATAGATAGATAGATAGATAGATAGATAGATAGATAGATAGATAGATAGATAGATAGATAGATAGATAGATAGATAGATAGATAGATAGATAGATAGATAGATAGATAGATAGATAGATAGATAGATAGATAGATAGATAGATAGATAGATAGATAGATAGATAGATAGATAGATAGATAGATAGATAGATAGATAGATAGATAGATAGATAGATAGATAGATAGATAGATAGATAGATAGATAGATAGATAGATAGATAGATAGATAGATAGATAGATAGATAGATAGATAGATAGATAGATAGATAGATAGATAGATAGATAGATAGAATAGATAGATAGATAGATAGATAGATAGATAGATAGATAGATAGATAGATAGATAGATAGATAGATAGATAGATAGATAGATAGATAGATAGATAGATAGATAGATAGATAGATAGATAGATAGATAGATAGATAGATAGATAGATAGATAGATAGATAGATAGATAGATATATAGATAGATAGATAGATAGATAGATAGATAGATAGATTATAGATAGATAGATAGATAGATAGATAGATAGATAGATAGATAGATAGATAGATAGATAGATAGATAGATAGATAGATAGATAGATAGATAGATAGATAGATAGATAGATAGATAGATAGATAGATAGATAGATAGATAGATAGATAGATAGATAGATGATAGATAGATAGATAGATAGATAGATAGATAGATAGATAGATAGATAGATAGATAGATAGATAGATAGATAGATAGATAGATAGATAGATAGATAGATAGATAGATAGATAGATAGATAGATAGATAGATAGATAGATAGATAGATAGATAGATAGATAGATAGATAGATAGATAGATAGATAGATAGATAGATAGGATAGATAGATAGATAGATAGATAGATAGATAGATAGATAGATAGATAGATAGATAGATAGATAGATAGATAGATAGATAGATAGATAGATAGATAGATAGATAGATAGATAGATAGATAGATAGATAGATAGATAGATAGATAGATAGATAGATAGATAGATAGATAGATAGATAGATAGATAGATAGATAGATAGATAGATAGATAGATAGATAGATAGATAGATAGATAGATAGATAGATAGATAGATAGATAGATAGATAGATAGATAGATAGATAGATAGATAGATAGATAGATAGATAGATAGATAGATAGATAGATAGATAGATAGATAGATAGATAGATAGATAGATAGATAGATAGATAGATAGATAGATAGATAGATAGATAGATAGATAGATAGATAGATAGATAGATAGATAGATAGATAGATAGATAGATAGATAGATAGATAGATAGATAGATAGATAGATAGATAGATAGATAGATAGATAGATAGATAGATAGATAGATAGATAGATAGATAGATAGATAGATAGATAGATAGATAGATAGATAGATAGATAGATAGATAGATAGATAGATAGATAGATAGATAGATAGATAGATAGATAGATAGATAGATAGATAGATAGATAGATAGATAGATAGATAGATAGATAGATAGATAGATAGATAGATAGATAGATAGATAGATAGATAGATAGATAGATAGATAGATAGATAGATAGATAGATAGATAGATAGATAGATAGATAGATAGATAGATAGATAGATAGATAGATAGATAGATAGATAGATAGGCAGACAGACTGTCGTATCTCTCATTGGTTTGCTCCTCTGCTCCACAGGGGCTATTGGTAAGGATGAAGATGGCGGAGGAAGCAACAAAAACGACGAGGAGGCCAATGAGATTGAGGAGGCCAGGCGCGAGATGGAGGAGAAACGCAAGGAAAAGCACAGGAAGATGGAAGAGGAGCGGGAAAGCATGCGGCAAGGAATCCGAGATAAGGTAAACATTATCTGCTGTCATAAACAGCATTGTTTTAACTGTCACAAACGTTTTGTCTCACTTTACAAATGTTTTGCTTGATTTCAAAAACGTTTTGCCGGATTTCAGAAACGTTTTTCCTGATTTCAGAAGCATTTTTCCTGATTTCAGAAACATTTTGCCTGATTTCAGAAACGTTTTGCCTGATTTCAGAAACATTTAGCATAATTTCAAAAACATTTTGCCTGATTTCAGAAACATTTAGCATAATTTCAAAAACATTTTGCCTGATTTCAGAAAATTTTTTCCTGATTTCAGAAACTTCTTGCCTGATTTCTGAAAAGTTCTGCCTGATTTCAGAAACATTTTGCCGGATTTCCAAAACGTTTTGTCTGATTTCAGAAACGTTTTTCTTGATTTCAGAAACATTTTGCCTGATTTCAAAAACATCTTGCCTGATTTCAGAACGTTTTTTCAAGACTTCAGAAAGGTTTAACCACTTCTTCTCTTGTTGACTTCCTCTTTGACGGTTTTGAATGTCGAAGGAGATCTGAGGTTCTACTTCGTGCTTCAGCCATGGACACTTCGAGCTGTTTTAGAGTTTCTCTGATGTTATCTTGCCACCTTGTTCTTTGTTTTTGCTGTACGTACTTCTCCTGTTGTGGGGTTCGCCTTGTACAGTACGGCGTCACATGCCCCTTTCTCTCTCTCTAACGCCTTGTACAGTACGGCGTCTTATGCCACTCTCTCTAACGCTTTGTACAGTACGGTGTCACATGCCACTCTCTCTAACGCCCTGTACAGTACGGCGTCTTATGCCACTCTCTCTAACACCTTGTACAGTACGGCGTCTTATGCCACTCTCTCTAACGCCTTGTACAGTACGGCGTCACATGCCCCTTTCTCTCTCTCTAACGCCCTGTACAGTACGGCGTCTTATGCCACTCTCTCTAACACCTTGTACAGTACGGCGTCTTATGCCACTCTCTCTAACGCTTTGTACAGTACGGTGTCACATGCCACTCTCTCTAACGCCCTGTACAGTACGGCGTCTTATGCCACTCTCTCTAACACCTTGTACAGTACGGCGTCTTATGCCACTCTCTCTAACGCCTTGTACAGTACGGTGTCACATGCCACTCTCTCTAACGCCCTGTACAGTACGGTGTCACATGCCACTCTCTCTAACGCTTTGTACAGTACGGTGTCACATGCCACTCTCTCTAACGCCCTGTACAGTACGGCGTCTTATGCCACTCTCTCTAACACCTTGTACAGTACGGCGTCTTATGCCACTCTCTCTAACGCTTTGTACAGTACGGTGTCACATGCCACTCTCTCTAACGCCCTGTACAGTACGGCGTCTTATGCCACTCTCTCTAACACCTTGTACAGTACGGCGTCTTATGCCACTCTCTCTAACGCCTTGTACAGTACGGTGTCACATGCCACTCTCTCTAACGCCCTGTACAGTACGGTGTCACATGCCACTCTCTCTAACACCTTGTACAGTACGGTGTTACATGCCACTCTCTCTAACACCTTGTACAGTACGGTGTCACATGCCACTCTCTCTAACTCCTTGTACAGTACGGTGTCACATGCCACTCTCTCTAACGCCTTGTACAGTACGGTGTCACATGCCACTCTCTCTAACGCCTTGTACAGTTCGGTGTCACATGCCACTCTCTCTAACGCCTTGTACAGTACGGTGTCACATGCCACTCTCTCTAACGCCCTGTACAGTACGGTGTCACATGCCACTCTCTCTAACGCCTTGTACAGTACGGTGTCACGTGTCACTCTCTCTAACACCTTGTACAGTACGGTGTCACATGCCACTCTCTCTAACGCCTTGTACAGTACGGTGTCACATGCCACTCTCTCTCTAACTCCTTGTACAGTACGGTGTCACATGCCACTCTCTCTAACACCTTGTACAGTACGGTGTCACATGCCACTCTCTCTCTAACTCCTTGTACAGTACGGTGTCACATGCCACTCTCTCTCTAACACCTTGTACAGTACGGTGTCACCTGCCACTCTCTCTAACGCCTTGTACAGTACGGTGTCACATGCCACTCTCTCTCTAACGCCTTGTACAGTACGGTGTCACATGCCACTCTCTCTCTAACACCTTGTACAGTACGGTGTCACATGCCACTCTCTCTATAACGCTTTGTACAGTACGGTGTCACATGCCACTCTCTCTAACACCTTGTACAGTACGGTGTCACATGCCACTCTCTCTCTAACGCTTTGTACAGTACGGTGTCACATGTCACTCTCTCTAACACCTTGTACAGTACGGTGTCACATGCCACTCTCTCTCTAACGCTTTGTAAAGTACGGTGTCACATGCCACTCTCTCTAACACCTTGTACAGTACGGTGTCACATGCCACTCTCTCTAACTCCTTGTACAGTACGGTGTCACATGCCACTCTCTCTAACTCCTTGTACAGTACGGTGTCACATGTCACTCTCTCTAACACCTTGTATAGTACGGTGTCACATGCCACTCTCTCTAACTCCTTGTACAGTACGGTGTCACATGCCACTCTCTCTAACTCCTTGTACAGTACGGTGTCACATGCCACTCTCTCTAACAGCTTGTACAGTACGGTGTCACATGCCACTCTCTCTAACTCCTTGTACAGTACGGTGTCACATGCCACTCTCTCTAACTCCTTGTACAGTACGGTGTCACATGCCACTCTCTCTAACGCCTTGTACAGTACGGTGTCACATGCCACTCTCTCTAACACCTTGTATATTACGGTGTCACATGCCACTCTCTCTAACGCCTTGTACAGTACGGTGTCACATGCCACTCTCTCTAACTCCTTGTACAGTACGGTGTCACATGCCACTCTCTCTAACTCCTTGTACAGTACGGTGTCACATGCCACTCTCTCTAACTCTTTGTACAGTACGGTGTCACATGCCACTCTCTCTAACTCCTTGTACAGTACGGTGTCACATGCCACTCTCTCTCTAACACCTTGTATAGTACGGTGTCACATGCCACTCTCTCTCTAACACCTTGTACAGTACGGTGTCACATGCCACTCTCTCTAACGCCTTGTACAGTACGGTGTCACATGCCACTCTCTCTCTAACACCTTGTACAGTACGGTGTCACATGCCACTCTCTCTCTAACACCTTGTACAGTACGGTGTCACATGCCACTCTCTCTAACACCTTGTACAGTACGGTGTCACATGCCACTCTCTCTCTAACACCTTGTACAGTACGGTGTCACATGCCACTCTCTCTCTAACACCTTGTACAGTACGGTGTCACATGCCACTCTCTCTAACGCCTTGTACAGTACGGTGTCACATGCCACTCTCTCTAATGCCTTGTACAGTACGGTGTCACATGCCACTCTCTCTAACACCTTGTACAGTACGGTGTCACATGCCACTCTCTCTAACGCCTTGTACAGTACGGTGTCACATGCCACTCTCTCTAACGCCTTGTACAGTACGGTGTCACATGCCACTCTCTCTCTAACACCTTGTATAGTACGGTGTCACATGCCACTCTCTCTAACGCTTTGTACAGTACAGTGTCACATGCCACTCTCTCTAACGCCTTGTACAGTACGGTGTCACATGCCACTCTCTCTAACTCCTTGTATAGTACGGTGTCACATGTCACTCTCTCTAACTCCTTGTACAGTACGGTGTCACATGCCACTCTCTCTAACGCCTTGTACAGTACGGTGTCACATGCCACTCTCTCTAACGCCTTGTACAGTACGGTGTCACATGCCACTCTCTCTAACGCCTTGTACAGTACTGTGTCCACTGTGTGTACACGGTGTCACATCTCTCTAACGCCTTGTACAGTACGGTGTCACATGCCACTCTCTCTAACGCCTTGTACAGTACGGTGTCACATGCCACTCTCTCTAACGCCTTGTACAGTACGGTGTCACATGCCACTCTCTCTAACGCCTTGTACAGTACGGTGTCACATGCCACTCTCTCTAACGCCTTGTACAGTACGGTGTACACATGCCACTCTCTCTAACGCTTGTACTACGGTGTACAGTACGGTGTCACATGCCACTCTCTCTAACGCCTTGTACAGTACGGTGTCACATGCCACTCTCTCTAACGCCTTGTACAGTACGGTGTCACATGCCACGCCTTGTACAGTACGGTGTTACATGCCACTCTCTCTAACACCTTGTACAGTACGGTGTCACATGCCACTCTCTCTAACGCCTTGTACAGTACGGTGTCACATGCCACTCTCTCTAACGCCTTGTACAGTACGGTGTTACATGCCACTCTCTCTAACACCTTGTACAGTACGGTGTCACATGCCACTCTCTCTAACGCCTTGTACAGTACGGTGTTACATGCCACTCTCTCTAACGCCTTGTACAGTACGGTGTTACATGCCACTCTCTCTAACACCTTGTACAGTACGGTGTTACATGCCACTCTCTCTCTAACATACAGTACGGTGTTCACATGCCACTCTCTCTAACGCCTTGTACAGTACGGTGTCACATGCCACTCTCTCTAACGCCTTGTACAGTACGGTGTCACATGCCACTCTCTCTAACGCCTTGTACAGTACGGTGTCACATGCCTCTCTCTCTTGTACAGTACGTGTCACATGCCACTCCCTCTAACGCCTTGTACAGTACGGTGTCACATGCCACTCTCTCTAACGCCTTGTACAGTACGGTGTCACATGCCACTCACTCTAACGCCCTTGTACAGTACGGTGTCACATGCCACTCCCTCTACGCCTTGTACGGTGTCACACTCTCTAACGCCTTGTACACTCTCTCTAACGCCTTGTACAGTACGGTGTCACATGCCACTCTCTCTAACGCCTTGTACAGTACGGTGTACATGCCACTCCCTCTAACGCCTTGTACAGTACGGTGTCACATGCCACTCTCTCTAACGCCTTGTACAGTACGGTGTCACATGCCACTCTCTCTAACGCCTTGTACAGTACGGTGTACATGCCACTCCCTCTAACGCCTTGTA